GACCGCTCTTTCAGAGGCTGCTTCTTGGGTTAGATTCTGGAGATTTACTTCATACACGCTTACACTGGCTTGAGGACGAAGACAGCATCATCTAGTACATAGTAGTCATTATACATATCACCTTCACATAGGTATGGCAGTCTGGTGAAAGCCTCTATGGCAAAACCAGCTTTACTGAAAACTTCTGGCAGGCTATTCACCTGTTCTTCCCAAGTGTGCCCTTTGATTTCCAAAACTTCTGAGGGCTTTTCCCACTTGCCACCTACTGAAGAAACAAAACAGTTTTGTTTAAATTATGAAGAAAACTTTATTGTGCATTGCACACTACACAGATTATATTCCATTCCACTCCACATAGGAGGTTGACAAGCCATTTGTAGAGCTGTTGCAAGATCAGTTCAAGGTTTTGCCTATTGTTCAGAAGCGGCTACTTCTTAAGGTTATATTTTGTTACATTTTTAACTAGCAGTCCCAAGAGTAGCTGAAAAGTAATTGCCATTAGCGGCTGGTGTTCAGCAGACATGGATAGACAAACTATTTAATGAAGATCTTTTCCAATATTATAAAATTCTTTCTTTATGCCCACTGTCTGGCCAAAGATGGCTTCAGGTAATTACAGTAAATAGAGCCAGCAAGTTGAAAATTATGAGTTGCTGTGAAGCTTCCATCAATAGACAACCACATTATAATGGATGGATACAGAATCACTGTTCCTCCAGTGGCCACCTACTAGCTGATACGGTAAAGACTGCTTAGGGTCATATAAAATTAAGATGACAAACACTTGTAGCATGCTGGAAAACAAGTTGTCATTTGTTATATCCAATGAAATAATCTGAAGGGTTACAGACACAACTCTCGGAAATTCAAAATGTAAAACTCCACTCATTTTCCAAGTAATGTCATCCACAAATGTTTTCTGGTTTGCTCTGTACCTTTAACCAGTTTACTAAATGCAATAGTACACGCCCTTCTAAACAGGAAGTTCTAAATCTTGTGATTCAGAGCATTCTGCAACTCCAAATATTTCCTAAGTTCCTCTTCCTTTGAGTAGAATCGTTTCCAGAGAGATACAAAAAATGGCATCTTTCAACAAATTAAAAAATGTGCTAATGCTGGCATTTGACTGGATTCTGTACAGTGCTGGTAAGACTTTTTTTTTTTTTCCTTGTATTTTCCCATGTAATAGCAGTTAAACAAGTTTGAAAATGTTGTGGTTATGATTTGCAACATAGCTAGAAAATAAGAAAAGTAAGAAGTCTTGCTGGGAATCAAGCTAATTTCTGCTATCTTCATACAACTTCCAAATTAAGCAGCTGTTAGCAAATGCTTTTTCTTCCCAAAGTCAGAAATCATAGATTACAGGAGCATTTCAGGGTCAACACCTACTGCACTTCCCTGCAAAGAATGCTCCAGCAGCAGCAGGGTTTCAGGGCAGCTGTGCTTCTTTGGGAGGAGGGTTTGGGAAGTTCAGCAGACAGTACCTACATGAACTGAAGCCATGGAGTTCTGCTCTGCAAGGCAACCCAGAGCCCTAAAGTAAGCTCGAAATGAAGGGATCAACTGCAGAAGCACAAGCTACTGCCTTTCACCACACAGGGTGCAAGTACACCGACAACGTGTATCACTACAATCACTGTAGCTGCTGTGGAACGGCTCAGATGTTGATCTGACACAGGCAGAATTTCAGTTTATTTCTGTAGAAGTCACGGACACTGAATCTGCTTGGATTTGGTCCATAAAACACTCAGTGAGAAAAATGAAGGGACAATGGTGATTGTCCACCATGGACAGGCTTATAAATTGTGTACGAGCAGTAGATTAAGAGACTTCAGTTTATTTTTCTTCTAATTTGTTATTTTCTAAGAAGTAGAAAAGGATGCTGTTAAGCTACTACCTTCATTTTCCCTGCCATAATCTCAATTCCATTGTTTAAATAACTAAGCAATTTATTTGAATAAAACTAAATATACTAAAACAGTATTTAAATTATGGATTTCAATAAGGACTTAAAAAAATTTCCCAGGCCAGTCACATTAAACCTTACATTTCAGTTCCTTAATTAGAATTCTCTTCTCTGATTAATCTTCCTGTTTTCTCTACACACATCTTTAAATGTCAGAACTAACAAGCAATATTATTATCCTTAGAAACCCAGAGTCAATATATGTGATGAAGTGGAAGAATGTCTAGGAACTATTATGAATTTTAATCAATGTTATGAAATTGCTAAATTATAAGTGTCTCCATTTATGACATTTTCACTGCCTGCCATCAGGCTCACAGATTAGAAATAGCAGAGGAGAGAGAAACCCTTGCAGAAGTACTCCACTGAGCATCTAGAGTTGTCCCACAATACCTACTATCCCCTCCTCAAATCCCCAAAACATTCAGGACTAAATCTGAGGCAGGGAACTACACAAAGTATTCTTTTGGTCTCCAGGGCTAAAGGTGACATTAACAGTATTTTAGATATACGAATCTTCTCTATACTTTTTCAGAAAAACAGAAAGCTAAGCACACTACCACATAGGTAAAACTGTTAAATGAACGGGCGAGCTGCAGGAATTTTCTACAAGTTCGCTGGAAACAATCTTAAAAGTTCAAGTTTGAAACACAGCTGCTTTTCCTCCTTTCCTCCCACCTCTACTCAAATGAATCAGAAGTAGCTTATTTTCTTTTTAGATCGTGACTTGCTTTTTAACTGTCCCTCACATTACCAATTGTTTATTCTCAACAGGTGGTGCAGATACCTGCCAAGTCAAGGTAACACAACCCAGATTTCAGGAAGCTGACTCCTCCATGCAAACTGTGTTCCTATCATGTGCTTTCTCTGCCTCTGGATGCTCCTTGTTCCCACCTCAAGTTCTATGGTTTCGCTTTTTAACTAACAAACATGAGGATTTGTGTATTCCTGAGTGCAAAAAGCAGCAGAAGTTCAAAGTACATTTTTTTTCAGAAAAAAACATTTCACTTCAGATCAACGATCTGACTGTAGATGACAATGCTGTTTATATCTGTGGAATATCATTTTCAAATTCAAGTTCACCGCATGCTAAACAAACAGGAGATGGAACAGTACTAACGAAAACAGGTCAGTTGATTATTCCTTCTTAATGAAGCATCTTAAATAAATTATCTTTCCTAAATACTCTATTTACACTGCCAAGAATGGCATTTAAGATGGAAATACCAACAAAACCATTCAGAGTAGTATGACTATAGTAAAATATTAATAGTAAAACCATGGAGGGATTCTACAAATAAGTATATTAACCTCATTTGCTAATTAGACTGGTCTGTCATATGGTACAAATGAGACTAGAATTCTACGAAAGAAAGAAGTTCTGTACTCTGTGTTATCTAATGATACTCTGCACCCTCTTACATAAAGACTTTAATGGCTATCAGAAAGGAAGTATCAACAGAAAAATGAGAAGTCGAGAAACTGACATTTAGTGGAAATACATGCAACAGAGCACAGGCTCTCATACCTGGGGATCCACTGTGCCAACTTGAGGAAAAAGTTGTAGTTCTGAACCTTTGTACCATTTGCCTTCTAGTTAAGAAAGTGATGAGACTCCATTAACTACATTTCAGTTTTACATGCCTAAAAATAGAAAAAAAACCCCAAACACACACTACCTGGATTATTATTTTCCCTATATTCCTTCCTTCCTCTATCTAATTGCATTTCTGAACAAAAGTCTCTAAGTTTTATTCAGATATTCCTCTTTGACAGCAGAAAACTAGATTCTGTTCTCTGTCTACCCCTAAAGGAAGGGTTCCTAATCAAAAATAACAAGTCTCCATTGCCCTTGCAAACATTCAGGGAAACAAAAGTGATCTAAGGAATTTAGACTGAAATGAACCAGAAAATATTGATGGGCATAGGGTTTTTTAATTCCTCAGAGGAAGGGGGCTGAAAGGCAGAATCTTAAGAAAATTATGTGAATCAGAAGAAGTGTCCTTTATTCTAACACTCACTTTTAATAAAGGAGAGGAAACGCAGCATGGCAATGGAAAACTCGTCTTCATCTTCCTGATCATCGCCTCATCCTTAATGTTTCTATACAGCACTACTGTATTCACATTCTTTGCAGTCTACAAGGTAGGCTTAAAGTGATTTTTCTGATTTTGTTCATTTTGTAAGTCTGAGCAGTTTTAACATCTCCATAAGGAGAATAAAAAGACATTCCCAGATTCCGTAACTTTTATGATTAAGTTTTAAAGAGGCGGTTGGTTGAAGTTCATATGCTGCACACATCTGCTGACTCTTGCATGGCACCTATCTGTACTCTCAATAGCAACCTCATTTTCTTTTTTCAGTAAAGTGTCTAAAAGAAAAGTTTAAATTACCCTAAGAGTGTTAATCAGCAAGTTGATCAATCAAGATTATCTATCAAGGCACACTTAAAAAGCAAAAGTAGAAATTACCATCTTAAATCATCAACTCTCTGGATTAGTTTCCAGTAAAAGTAAAATGATTTAAATTTAATGTCAAAGTATTTGGGAGTTGCAGTAAAGTTACTGCAGACTGACTTTACGTGTGTAATGAAGTTCTATTCATACATTGTACATATACAGAAGAGAGTCCTTGGTAAAATTTAAAAATATCAGTGACTTGGAAGAAGTTTTATGCTTATAGGAGAAGAACACATCAAAATGTACCTGGTTAAAAATTACATAAATACTGGATTTTTATTTTTTAACAAATTTTGTGTTTAGTTAAAAACAAACACCCAAAGCTGCAAGGGGAATGTTTACATAATAATGAGACTTCGACATAAGAATGAGGACTTCATGGTCCTAAGTGGTATCATATGGTACAATAGTTCTTTGCTGTAGTGATTACTGTCTAGACATAAAGACAGGACAGTTTTTTTAATTTTTGTTTTTCTTTAAACTAGGTGAAGTAGTATAGTGGAAAAAATTAATCAAGCCTTCTTCAGGGGAAAACCTGATGTCTTTGATGCCATTGGTTTATTTTTGAGAACTGGGTAGTGCTTCAGGGAGGTCCCAATGTACTCAAAGCAAAAATACTTGCCACGTCTACTACCAGAAGCTGAAAAAGGCCTTACAGGCATGAAAACTGCTCTGATTTTTCCAATGGTGTAAGCTGATCTAATGAAAGACTTTTATCTACAAAGTATTGGATGCTTTTAACTATTCTGCTACTTTAGCAGTTGGCTTCTCATCTTATATTTTAATCTTTTTTTATTTTATTATCCCTCCCTCCAGTTAAAACCAGAGCTGCTAAAGAAAAGCAGGAACGAAGACCAAAGAACAGAGAACTGTGTACGTTATCACTTTGTTTGCTTTGTCTGTGATTCAGAACTTTTTTTTTTCTCCTGTCTTTATCAGTTTTGTAATTAATCAATGATTCAGTTAGAGTTGTTAAGGCTTCACTTCAGATTTGTACAAAACTAGTTAATGATTTTACATTTAGCTAATTACTTAATTAGTTTATTTTTAATGAATTAAATACTGGATAAAGTCACTGTATGTAAAGGCCATCTCTAATACACAGCTTCCTTTAGGTAAGTAAATTTTGCTTAAACTTCTAAAAATAACAGGGTTAGCTATTAATTTTTTGTTCGGTGCATTAAGGTAAGCCCTAGTGTATTTAAAACAAGTCTATTAAGAACCTTTATCATCATGTATCCTTGAATAAAAATCAGATGCCATACATTTAAACATCCATTAAAGAAGGTATATATGTCAATAGATGTAATAGTAATATAATTAAAACCCCTT